GTCCTTACAGAGCACTGCTATGGCACTGAGTGCTGCTATAGCACTGAAGAAAGAAATATAAATACATTAAAACCATAGGTTATAGGGTAGAAAGTGGCCTCAAGCAGTCCTTCCACAGCCCTAAGGTAGGGGCGACTCGACTCCACATGCTTCAGATTGGCGACTGTCTCACTAAAAGTCTCCAGCATTGGGATCTTGTGTCCCTACAGACAATGTCTCTCATTATCTTTGCAGCCTTAGCACATAAGAGCTGCCACTTAAGCCTAATGTTTCTTGTCTTACCCCCACAAGGCAGGCAGAACAGGTTTTCCCTTTTGTCTTGTTGTTCCTCAAAGTGTGAGGCTGAAACCTGCATAATATGCTTTATTTCCCCATAATAAGAATTCACAAAGAGAAGGGGAAAAAAAAAAGACAAACCCCAAACATGCAGATACGGGGAGCATGTTTTCAATATGCACAACTTTATTTTCTGGTTAATGAATACAATTACTTTCAAAATGCAGGTTTTTAAAAGGGTAAAAAACTTAAACTATATCTCCAAATTTAATACCTGACATGCAAAGAGAGAACAGTAATACTCAAAATGCATACAAAAATATCACTTCTTCATTCTACTGGAAAAAGATAAGCACGTCTAGTTGCATTACTTATAGATATTTGAATTAGTAGAAAATTGTATAGAATTTTAACTTCATTGCAAAATCCATTATTTTGGTATCCTTCATTTTGATGGATACATAGATAGAAAATTAAGAAGCACATACCCCTGACCTACTGAGAAAGGTATTTGAGTGTCTTCTGCATATTACCTCATACTGTTCTGTGTAACTGTAGGCTTTGTGTGCAATGCTATTTTTGAGGAAAAGTTGAATATTTTGTGCCAGTTAAATTAAGAACAAATACAACCATGCCTGGAAGAAATATGCAGGCCAAGAATAAGTGCATTGCATCATATTTTATCACAGTTAATTCCAGATGAAATGTCATATTTGGAAAGGAAACTGGAAGACTGTTAAATATTTAATTGCTTTTTCTAAATACCTGTATGACAAGAATTGGAGAAGGTTCAAAAAATAACGTAAGCACACTTTTCTGTCAAGTAAGAATCTATACTCAAACTTCACAGTGCAGATGTTCTCTTGAGGGGAAAAAAAAAAGCCACTCCTCTAATTTTTTATACCATTTTTTCCATAGTATGTGTTCTGCATAAAAATTAGCTGAAAGCTTACGTATCAGTCCCAGGTAGAATATTTCACTTTTTACATAAAATGTACATCCACTTCAGAAAAGCAATACAGCTTCTGAGAAGCATGTTACTGGCCTTGTCCTTCATTGCTACGTGCTGTGTGCCCCGGCAACAGTGGCTTATGTTCAGGTTAATGTAAGTTGGGGCCGTGCCCTGATAGGAAAGTTTTGTCAGTAACGTGGGCAGGAGTGCCAACCTTGTGCTTTGGGCTGGCGAATGGAAGGGGAGAGAACGAGGACGGGTAGCGCGAAAAGCGTGAATTGTCAAATCGCAGCCTAGAGCCTACACTCTATTTGCATGAGTCTAAACAGAAATTAATACTTCCACCTGAGGAGGTGCAGATCAGTCTGATTTGCCTCTTCAACTCAAGCCTCATTTCTCAGCTTGTGGAGGTGCCAGTCTGACGTACAAGTGGCATATGTCTATTTGTAAATACAAACCTGCGATTTTGCTGGCTTGCACCGGAACATCAATATCATCTAGGTTCAAGCCCTAGTAATGGAACTCAGGTAATGAATCTGGAATGAGAAATGTCACCAACATGTTTCTGTCATGACAGCTGAAGTGTTTGCCTTAATTAGAGAATAAAGGTGTCAGTCTGGTGCTGTTACCTACTGTGTGAGATACTGTCCAACTGCCTGAAGTTTATTGTTTTCACTGATTTTTGATGGTAGTTCACTTAGGTCCTTAGGACAGAATAATCTATTTAGTTCTTAGCTTTTCACCTGAGATTTTCCACTAACACTACTTGCAGCAAAAATTTTCTCTGTGCAGTGTGAGATAGGAAAATTTCTCTGACATAATCAAATAAGGAGACTTAAATTTGTGAACATACTGAAGCTAATTAGCCCACATTGTGAAGCTTAAAGGGATTTTATACCTGGACATTCTTTGCACTTTTGTTACTATCTGTTCCCTCACCAGGCAGAGGATTTTTCCATTTAAAAAATTAATGTAGTGCTAAAAAATTTAAGGTAGCAGTCTGTTTTCCATCAAATACATTTCTTCTTCATGAAAAGTAAGAATATTGATTTCCTGCATATCTATTTTATATAGTCCTAAAGTAAGGATTAAAGTTTTGCAGGTCAAATCCCTTATCTTTTGTAAATTATTGCACTTGTGCATTATGGACTGTCAAATGTAAAAGAACAGCAGCAGTTTGATGTAGAATATTAAAAGAAAAAATATGCTATATAAAAATATAACTATTCATTAAACTAAATAAACTCCTATATTCCATTTTAAAAAAAACCAAGCCTCTATACTAGGTCACATTCTGACTTTCTTGCACTCAGTAGCAGCCTGTTCTACAGATTCCATTAAGTACTTGGGGACTAAGGTTTTCCTTAATCTAATTTATGTCATGATCTGCCTCTTGATGAAAGATAGGTAACCTAGCCAAAATAATTTTTTGTGTATACTTCATTTTAGGGATGATCATTAATAGTAGTGCAAGATTTGCTACAATGGGATTAATACAGAACTAATGAACCCATACCCAAGGGTTTTGAAACTTATCCTATTTGAAGTGTTATAATAGTTCAGAGCCGTTTTCTGTTCCTGTGACTGTTTCACCCATCGTTACAATTATCTAACAAACCGCAGCAATTTAAGGAATTGCTTGGAAAAAAAGGTCACTATACATTTTTCAAGACTTGTCAGCACGTATGCTCACACTAATGTTCTAGAACTCCTGCCCTTTCGCTGGGCATCGTGCAAATACAGAACAAGAGGCCTGCCAAAATCCAAAGATTTTGGTCTCTTCAACTCTCCTGGGCAGAGCACAAAGCAGCCTTTCATCCTGTACACTAGTCCCAAAACTAAGTACATCTTTTGTAATAGTCTTCTGATTTATTTTAGTCAATATGTCATATCAAAAAGTGCTTGCTGAATCAAGGTCCAGAGTATTTCTGGGATAACGTTACCTAAAATTTTGAGATTTCTAGAGATCTGTATCATTCAGACAAAAAATCAGGGTTGTCTTCAAGTGCAAAGATTGGTTTCATTGCAGAAAATGCTTATATAGTACCGGTGCATAAATATTGCTGTGAGTTCACAGGTTAGACAGTACCAGCAGTCCATCCTCATGAAGCAAGTCTGCGCATAGCCTAGTGAAATGGTTTTCAAAAGGTGGAGAGAAACAGGCCATGGTTAGTTCTGAGTACGCACCATTTGGAAAAATAATACATTTGTGTATGTCAACTAAAAACTACCAAGTTCAACCTGGCCTCAGTGAAAGTACTAAGAAAGTAACTGTTCTGAGGCAGCTGCCCTCTGACTTGTGTCTGCATCGGACAGTTCAGTCGGGAAGCTTCAGGTCTGAAGGTTACTGCCTCTCACCTTCAAAATGTGGCTATAAAGGCAGAGAAGAAACCTCTCAGAATACTCTTTGCCCTTGGATTGGTAGTTTTGTGTCTGGCTTCTTTTCTTATTTCATTACATTAATATAAATATCTAAGCAATCCTGTGAATAGAAATCAGAATTCAAGCCTTTTTGGCTTGCCATTCCCAAATGCTTCTGTTACAGAAACATGGTGTCTTTCTAGCTTTTTAAATCCTTCATTCCTTTCTGCACTGTGACTTATAGAGGAGTGGAAAGTGCTTCTCCCCATATTAGTGATAAAGAATAATATTTGGGTCTCCTGCAATATCCATACCAACCAAAAAAGGAGGGGGTGAATCAGGAGTACCAAGTATAACAATCTACTTACCAAGCCCTGATGAAGTTTGAGAGGCTTTTGCTTAGGGTCTCAGTTTCTCCTATCACCAATCTGCCTTCCAAGGTGACCTTACTTTTTCCTACAGGACGTAATGCTACGGTAGAAGCTACAATGCAGGGTGAAGCTGAGAACCTCTACCCAGCCACAATTTGCCTCCAGGGACCTCTACTTCCCACACGCACAGCAACCTTGCTGCACCATTTCACTAGAGCATGATGGAGACAAGGGTCACAGCATGCATCCAGCCCCTTTCCATTCCTGCAAGGGCACTACCCCATTTTAGATCGGGAATTAAGAATGGAGTTCTGACTAGTATCACAGTAGCATAGTAGCAGGGACACATAATAACCATGCCCTTACCTGCATGGAGTGTTGTAATGCTTCCAAGGTATTGACGCATCACTAGTTTAATACATCTCAGGCTATAAAAAGGCATTTAGCCCAATCTCCTATTTTCTGAAAAAGTGGCCTATGTGCTGCACTGTTATTTTAGCAATAAGTGCCACGTTATTTTCTGGCAGTATTCTGTAAATACAAATTACCGTGGTATTGCTTTAATGGACGAGTGTTGTTGCTTGTAAGTTATGTTCAGTATACTGCTTTGCTACAGCTTCCTGTAAAATGTTCAGGTTGTGCAAGATGGTGTCTGTCATGTTAAAAGGAGGAATGAAGCAGGGAGCTTGACCATCATTTTGGACTCGGGTGCCTCAAGCCTTACCAAGTCTTCTTTTAGGCACCTAACTCATGTTTGGATCTGTTTATAAGCCTGTGTAAGGCAAAAGTAGTCCTAAAGTGACAGAGATTGGGAGGTGCTTGTGCACATGTAATCTACTACATCTCAAGGAAAACCTGACTTCCTCCATGTAGCACTGACATTCAGGTACCCAGGGAAGGTATTTATTTATGGAGAAGGAAACTGTTGAGGGTTCAGTTCATCCGCCATACTCTCACAGCATGACACAATGCTACAAGCAAAGGAATAAAGACAGCAGTATGCTGTAAGTAATAGACACATTCAGTTCTAAAGCACATACCTCTTCCTGAACATCAAGTTCATCATCAGGCCGGCTTGTTTCTGTGAATTCTATGGGTTCTTTAGACTCCTGCATGAGCGAAATCTTGGCAAAAAGAAATTAAGAAAAGTGAGTTACATGTTGTCCATATTATTGAAATTGGTTTATTACTCTGAAGTACCTTAAGATAATTTCCACAACTTACAAGAGTCTGTTGTTTACTGTTCCTTGACAAAGCTGTTGATTTAGTTCAGCAGAGATCACAACTTCAATGTTGAAAAGCTTTTGGTCCTGCCTTTCCTCATGTGACTACTTACGGCTTTGTAAAAATCATAAAAGCAGAATCCATCTCTAAACTGCTGTATAACTTTGTCAAAATGCCAATCTCTACTGTAAAATGGTAGTATGCAAAAATTATCAAAAAATAAGGGTCCCATCCTAGTTATTTATCAGTAATATTAATTTTCAAAGAATCACAGAATGGTAGGGGTTGGAAGGGACCTCTGAAGATCATCTGTTCCACCCCCCCTGCCAAGGCAGGATCACCTAGGGCAGGCTGCACAGAAACGCGTCCAGTCGCGTTTTGAAGGTCTCCAGAGAAGGAGACTCCACAACTTCTCTGGGCGGCCTGCTCCAGTGCTCCATCACCCTCACAGAAAAGAAGTTTTCCCTCATGTTGAGGTGGAACTTCCTGTGCTGCAGTTTGTGCCCATTGCCCCTCGTCCCATCACTGGGCACTACTGAAAAGAGACTGGCTCCATCCTCCTGACAGCCACCCTTCAGGTATTTATAGACCTTGATAAGGTCCCCTCTGAGGCTTCTCTTCTCCAGACTAAACAGCCCCAGGTCTCTCAGCCTTTCCTCATGTGAGATTTGTTCCAGTCCCTTCATCATCCTCATAGCCCTCTGTTGGACTCGCTCCAAAAGTTCCCTGTCTCTCTTGAACTGGGGAGCCCAGAACTGGACACAACACTCTACATGAGGCCTCACCAGCGCAGAGTAGAGGAGGAGGATAACCCCTCTCAACCTACTGGTCACACTCTTCTTAATGCACCCCAGGATACTATTGACCCTCTTGGTCACCAGGGCACATTGCTGTCCTATGGATAACTTAGCGTTTACCAGGACTCCAAGGTCCTTCTCCGTGGAGCTGCTTTCCAGGAGGTCAACCCTTAACCTGTACTGGTGCATGGGGTTGTTCCTCCCCAGGTGCAGAACTCTACACTTGTCCTTGCTAAATTTCATGAGGTTCCCCTCCACCCAACTCTCCAGTCTGTCCAGATCCTGTTGAACGGCAGCACAGCCTGCTGGTATATCAGCCACTCCTCCCAGTTTTGTATCATCAGCAAACTTGCATTCCAGCCCTTCATCTAGGTCATTGATGAAGATGATGAACAAGACCGGACCTAGGACTGATCCCTGGGGAACACCACTAGCTACAGACCTCCAACTGGACTCTGCACTGCTGACCACAACCCTTTGAGCTCTGTTGCTTAGCCAGTTCTCGATCCATCTCACAGTCCACTCATCCAACCCATACTTCATGAGCTTCACTATGAGAATGTTATGGGAGACAGTGTCAAAAGCCTTACTGAAGTCAAGGTAAACCACATCCACTGCTCTCCCTTCATCTACTCAGCTAGTCACTCCATTATAGAAGGTTATCAGGTTGGTGAAGCATGATGTCCCCGTGAATCCATGCTGACTACTCCTGATAACTTTCTTTTCATCCATGTGCCTAGAGTAATTTTAATTACTACTTATTCACAATACTGTAATAGTGATTGCTAGGGAAGGAATTGTGGTGAAAAGGCAGGAGAGCATTATAAGGCCATTTTCCTAATGCAGGCCCACATCTTTAAATGCTACAGAGTGTTCTGGTTATCTCAAAAAACACAGAATACAACTAGGAAATGCACAGAGAAGGACAGTAGGAATGAACACTAGAGTGGAACAGCTTTCATGCACACTCACATCAAGGAGAAAGGGACTCTTCAGCTTTGATCAGAGGTATATGAAAATATTAGTAGTGTTGGGAAAGGGAGCAGGGAATGATTATTCATTGCAACTAGCAATCCAGAAATCCAACAGGCTTAAAACAAACGTGAAATATTTGTCATATGACATATTTAAAATATAGGATAGTGTCAAGCTAAAACACGTAAAGGCATTCCAAAAGGAGTATGACAGACACATTGAAGAAAACTCCATCTGTGATGATTAAATATAATGGTCCAAATGCAACCTCCAGCTGAGGAAGTTCTTAAGCTGGCAGTTGTCAGAAACTAGAAAATGTGTCTTAGGATGAAGTGTTTCATCCTACCATATGTCCTGTTTCTCGGGTTCTTTTCACTAACAAGATCCTGGGGTTGACAGACCATTCCTTTGATCTGGCAAAATATTCCTGTACTACGGAAGCTGTCCAATTTACTAGACTCTCACTTTATTTGTACTACAGCTCTATGACTAGTTTTCGAACGTGCCATGCTGTAATGGAAATTGCAAGAAGGAACTCTTAGATAATAGAAGGAAGGGAAACTTACTACTGGATATCCTTACCTTCTCAAATATGGGATCATGGTTGTCACTGTATGTCATTTGATTCCGTATGTAAAGCACGGCATCATGGACAGTCAAGAAGAATATGTCTTTTGACATATCATCAAAGAAGGCACTCCGTTCCAGTTGAGAGATAAGGTTGTCTGAATAAAAGAAAGTCATAACAGGTTAATACAATTTGAAGTAATTTAAGAAATAAATGTGAAAATACATGGTTGAAACTATCAGAAATCAAACATACAGCCAAATCAATCAATCAATCAATCAATCAATCGTAGCTTTGTCTTGGCTTTTACTTTCCACATTTCCTTTAAACACCACCATTCTTTGTGTCCCACCACAGCCCACCGTGTTTATCAGTGTGATAATTCACATTTTTATTAGAACAAATGCTCCCACAGACACATCTAGAGATCCCTTCTCATCCCTTCTCATCTTCATTTTATTCTTTGCATGAGTGGTAGCAGAAATATTTGGATGTTTACCTTGATATGAAGCAAAGTATACTCTCACATCAATTCTCTCAAACTCTCTAATTATCTAAAAAAAATAAAAGTTTGCAACAAGGACATAAATCAATAAAATCTGTAAGAAGAAAATACTTATATGTCTATATGTCTAAATATGTAATGTACAGGCACACACACACACTTCATTTGTTTCTGAGTGTCTTCATTCCAAAATGTATGTTTTGTTTATTCATCATAAATAAGGAACTGCTATACTTTGCTATACTTAAAGATCCAGTAGTGAAGTACCTGGTTGCTGAAGTGGCGTATCTTCGGCTATGTAAGTGGAACTTCAATTTTACACGTACATACATTGCTGCCTATTGAGGTTCTCATTCTGTTCTCATAATATGAATAATCACATCTCTTCAAGTGAAAACCACATGGGCCTGAGCAAGCTTTACTTCTCCCCATGTATGTGTGATATGATACAGTCTTTCATTTGCACATGCAAATTTTTTTTACACAGATTTTTCCCTCATGCAGTGCACCAGATGGACCTGTTCTTGGATGAAAAAGCTGCATGTGGAAAGAGTCACGTCTGTGGACCCCATATCTCTTTTATCTCAGAAGCCAGAATTGAATCGAAACTAGGCAGAAGGCTGAAGCAAGGTGTACAGCATTCTTGTATTTCAGTTAGTTAAAAGGTGGGAAACTGGCTTCTGCCCCTGGCTCCCTGGTGGCAGGCAAGTCTCTTAGAATAGTATTTTCAGAGGTGATTGCTAATTCCATCCCCTTCTGTTCATTGATAAACTGGAGTCTTGGTAATCTAAGATCTGGTTTATAGAGAGGCTAAGCAGTCTCAGCTGCAAAACGAAGTTAGTGAAAGCAGCAATCTGAACATACAAAGTATCATAAAGGACTAAAGACTCAACAGCTTGGTCCTACACACTTGTAACTGGGCACCAAAAAATAATGGAAATACTTGGTCTTAATCTCTTCACCTCATTTCCTTCTCCCTAAACTAGGGATATTATCTCCTTATTACATAGTTTGATGTTTGAAGATGAATTAATGTATGTTGATGAAGCGCTCTGATATTAGCCACAGAAAACCCCATCAAGAAATGAATCACTCTTCCCTCCTTCCTAATTTAAATAATATGGAATGAATAAATAAATCTTGTGGCTAAAGACTGAAGTGATAGTAAGTGGAAATTTTTACTACCTCTGTGTTGAGTGAGCATCATCCTGTGCCCAGATTAAAGCAGGAGGCATGTGGAAAGAAAATATATAACTAAAATATTTCATAACATATGCATACAAGGGGACCACATTTTGCAATTCTAATTTCAGAGTACTTGACCGTGCGACCTTCATATTGTTCTTTTGTTGTTTTTTTCCCCACCTAAAATATGCACACCCCATTATTCTACTTCTTGCTGTATAAGTTTTAAAGGTATTTTTCAACAACAGAGTTTTAAAAACTCAGAAATTAACTTCAGCTAACAGCTCTTGATTCAGATAGTACTGACTAGTTTCATTTTCATGGAACACCAGAAAAAAATGCCCTTACCGTTTTTATTGATCTCACAGCTACAATATCCAAGAAGGTCACTGCTCCAAAATCAAGAATGAGACTGTGGATGGGCACCTTGGGGATGTTGACTTTGACTGGGAGTTCTGAATTCCAGTCCACCTGGATTTCTACTTCTTTGGTGGGAACTTGAAGATCTTCTTTGTCTTCAGGTTCCTCATCAGTCTCAAAAGCTTCATTATTAATACCAGGCTCACTGATGATGCCATTCTAATGTGCAGATAACAAATGGAATATAGCATTTAATCATGGAGAAAGTTTTGGAGTTACAGGAAGTACTTCCCTGTGATAACTTCTGTTTCAGGAATGGACAAGACGGATGCCTGTGACCAGTACCCCCTGCTTCCAACCCCTGGTAATGTGGTTAGTGTAACTAACACCATTTTATAAAGCAAGCAGCCATTCCCTCTGACCGAGCAGGTCATGTATTCGTTCCCTTTCCCCTTGTTCTCAGGCCTTGAAGGTCCTGTGAACCAAGTAGACAAACCAAACAGATTTCTTCTTCCCTCCCTGCTGGCCTCAAGATTCCTGGGTGCCAGGCTGATTATTCCCTTCATTGCTGGCCTTGAAGGTCCCAGGCACCCGGCCAACCAGGTGTTGTTGTATGACTCCATCACAGAACAGGGAAGCGTAACAGCACACAGACCACTGTCTATCAAATCAAGCAGTTGCAAGTCCTAAGCGGGGAATCTGGACCGGAACTGCTGCTGGACAGTGAGACCTCTGACCCTCCGGTGGCCAGGGACACCTCCATCGTCACCGGCTTCCTCTGAGGACTGGGTGAGTGACTCGTCTTCTTTTAGTGATGTTTGAGCCTAGATTATGATTGTCATATTGATACATCAAACCACATATTCAGATCTGACCCAATCTGCAGAGGGTCCAGGTGATTAGAAACCATAAGTTAAGTTAGTGTCTAGGTGATTAGAAGCTATAAGTTAAGTTGTAGTATAAATTCTGTATTACGCTACTTATAAATTGTACTACATTGATTCTGTTTGCAGGAATCCTGTGCCATTCTAGTCATAAATTCTGTGCTATAATGATCATAAAATCCTGTTAGGAAAAATAAAGCTTTAATTGTAACTATAATTTAGTGCCATCATCATTCTGCCAAGGATCCCAAAAAGAACCTGTCTATCCCCTTAGTGTCGGGTCACAATACTGCATCCAAGAATTTAAAGAAAAACAAGATAGAGCACATCATTACCTCCCCCTCTGTGCAGTGTATATCCTTTCCTCTTTTTTTCTTTTTTAAAAAAGCATCTTCCTACAAAAAGGCCACTATCCAGAAAAAAAATACCTCAGAGCTACTCCCTCCCCCAATAGCTTTATTTCTAGGAGATATTTTTCAGCTTTGAATTAAATGATCTGAGGTATGGAACACCTCTCCTATGAGGACAGGCTGAGAGAGTTGGGGTTGTTCAGCCTGGAGAAGAGAAGGCTCCAGGGAGACCTTACTGCAGCCTTCCAGTACTTAAAGGGGGCCTGTAAGAAAGATGGAGACAGACTTTTTAGCAGGGCTTGTTGTGATAGGACAAGGAGTAATGGTTTTAAACTGAAAGAGGACAGATTTAGACTAGATCTAAGGAAGAAGTTTTTCATAATGAGGGTGGTAAAACACGGGCACAGGTTGCCCAGAGAGGTGGTAGATGCCCCATTGCTGGAAACCTTCAAGGTCAGGTTGGATGGGGCTCTGAGCAACCTTGTCTAGTTGAAGATGTCCCTGCTCATTGTAGGGTGTTGGACGATGACCTTCAAAGCTCCCTTCCAACCCAAAGATTCTATGATTTATGATACTATATATGATAACATGGTAAAATGACTAGGTCAAAAGCTGGAATGTCACATAACTGAGCATTTCACTGCATCATAGATCGTAATATATACAGGAAATACCGCATCCTGCACTGAGAGCAATGACAACAGAAAACCCGTTTCTAACTTTCAGGTCTGGAGACTTAATAGGCTGCCTGTACTTGTCCATTCCTGTAAGTGTTTAATTATTGAAATGTACATTCCATACCCAGAGGAACGTATGCTGCTTTCTTTAAAGAGGATGCGGAAGGCTATGCCTACTAGCCAGTTGATACAGCTCACCTGTGCATCGGAAGCTGGATAATAGCAGCATGTACACATGAAGGAGACAGTGCTTTTGCTGCACAGAGACAATCTGAGGTGGTGAGGGGTAGAGGTAAGATCAGGGAATCTCTTGCTCTCACAGCTGCCAGAATCTGTGGGGTCTTTGGCAATAGATGTACTGCTCTGCTAAGTCTCCTTCAGGTCCCAAACTTCCTACCATAGTAATAAGTCACACTTTTCCATCTTTATTTTGAAGATAAGTATAGAGAAATTCATAATTAAGGCTAAAGTAATAGGCTGTATCAGTAATTCTTTGAGAAAGAATAAAAAGAATCGTTTTACCTTTGTAGCTTTTAATTTCCCCTTCTTGATTAGTTTTTGTATCTTCCTCAGTGCTTTAAGTCTCTTATTATATACCTTGACTGCATCAAATCCCACCTGCAGAAAAAGGATCAAAATTATTTATTTTTACCTAGATATAATTCTGAGGAAATCTCGAAGACAGTTGAGAAGCATCCAAAACCATCATATATTACATACTGTGGATTTGAGGCTGCTTTTCAGTCCATCGATGTTAGCATAAAAAATTGGACTTGAAAACTTGAGAATCTTCACACCATCTGGTTCTATAACCTGTTGCCAAAGAATATAAGGTTAATTACCAACAACCATATTTTGGCTAATAAGAAGCAGTTTAACTGTTTTGACAGTTCAGCTACATATCTAATTCACAAAAAATGGTGCATCTTTGCTGATAATTGAAGTGATTCAGTTTTTAGAAGCTTTCAGCCCCAGCATGCAATATCGACCAACCATCTGGATGAAGATGAAGAATTTAATGCTGAAACTTATTATTTTGTAGCACTGCACTTCCAAATTGAAGTTACAGAATCACAGAATCATAGAATAGTTTGGGTTGGAAGGGGATCTTAAAGGTCATCTAGTCCAATCCCCTGCAAT